TAAATTAGGGACGGCTAGCGCAGATAGTCCTCGTGTAGCTTTGCGCGAAATTCAAAAACAAACAAACAATACTAGTTCTCAGTTCATGTACTCTTTGTTCTTTCGGTGTTTTTATCTCTTTCAGAGCCACTACCTATTTGTCAAATGACAGTCATTTGGAAAACTGATGTAGTTGAGCTGCATTTCTATATCAATCTTGCAAGATACTTTATTTGTCAGGCCTAAATCATTAGGCCAACTGGTATTCTATAAATAAGATATGTAATATTTGGCATTGATCAGCTGTACACCTTTCATAGCTCAAGTCATACAACTCTGATAAATAAGGTGGCAAACTCCTCCTATGTGAAGATTTGGCATCAGACTTCTTGTATCTTGTTTCTAAGGTACTACTTCTGGTTTTCTTTGACGTGGAAAAATTAATTGTACAACTTTATATCTTGCAGTTTACCATCAAAAATTTGTCTTGAATTTCATGGTTTGTTGTGTTTATGGCCCTAATGATAACATTTTAAGTTCTCCAGATCCAGAAAAGTTCATCAACCAACATTTCCTCAGGGAAAGCTAGAGTATTTGCTTTGACCACACTCCAATCAATAAAAGTATGTAAAAAATGTTCCTAATAAGTTCTGGTATGATAATTACACTTTTTATGGTAGTGAAATACTGCCCTCCTTGTTGTCAGTGGAAGTTTATCTTTTGCTGTTGAAATTATTGTGTGGTGCAAGTGGAATTTCTTGTGGTAAACTGTTAAACTATTTGAAGCAAGCCTAACTTCACATTCAAGTTTATGAAGACTATTCCTAATATGTACCCTTTATTCTCCTGAAGAAGAATAGTGAACTATTCGAAAGCACTCGAGTTTTGGGTCTCGTTTGAAAACCATGCACTCTTTCTTGATATCAACACATCATGTTGTGTAGAGAAGTTTTCTACAGTGAGAGTGATTTTCCTCTTGTTAGAATTTTATGACAACTTGGTGGTAGCGTCAGTTTTTAATCTTGGTCGTTTTTTTAAAATATGGCCTAGTGAGTAGGGTACCCGACTCGCAATCTGCAGGTTGCACAATTAAAATCTGTCACCGAAAATGTTCGTCCTTTCATTGGAGGCATTATAATGTGATGGTCAATCTCACTTTTTCTCGGTAAAAAGTAGCCTAAGGGTCAGCGGTGGATGGAATTAAGTTAGCACAGATACCCCTTGAGTAGCTTTGCACAAAATTGAACAAACTTTTATCTTTTTTTTTCTCGCCATTTCTTTTTTCTCTCTCTCTCTTCAAGCTCGTGTCATCATTTTGAAGTTCATTCTTGTTTGTTTATTTGTTCTTGTTGTTTTATTTCTACCCAACGTGCTGTGCCCACCACGGGTATCGAAACCCAGTTTGTTTTGTTTGTTTTTTCAACTACAAGCTCTAGAAATTCCACATAAGTAATGATAGGTCATACTTTACATAAATAATGCTTCAATAGAAATTCCACCGACTTTCTAATTTTGTATCCCTTGTGTATTTTTGCAAACAAACTCGGAATTTACAGTACTGAACTAACTGTCTGACAGACACAAACTGACTAAATCATGCACTGATTGCTCATTAACCGATTAATATTATCACTAATAAATCAAATCTAGCCTAGCCCAACCTGCGTTTTATATTGCTCTAATTACTTCCTAAATTTTCAAGAAAATTCCTGACGCCAAGCCACACGATCATTATATGACGAAAGAACAATACAGCCATCTCAGTTAAAAAAACAGCCAACAACTATATATGTAGGCATATGTGTGTGTGTGATTTATTTTAAACTAAGATGAACAGCTTTCCCAACATTCTTAGTTCTCCTGAGAGTAAATCTGACAAAGATTTGTTCAATTATTTATTTAAAAAAGATATCTTTACATCAGTTCAACAATTTTAAGAAGTTATGATTTCCTGTCGTTTTGAGAAGAAAAAAAAACATTTATTATTACGAAATTTTCTGTGTCTAATCGTTTTCGCAAAAATAACAAGAAAAAATCCCCGGTTGCTCATCAGTAAGATTGGTGGCTTATAACGCCAACAATCGGTTTTCGATACCCTCGGTGGGTAGAGTATAACTAGCTCATTGTGTTGCTTTGCACTTACCAACGACCTAACAAATGACAGCCGTTCGGTTCGTAAGCTTTTATGTAGAACAATAGAAGGGAGGTTAGAAATTGGGTGCCACTACTGTTATGGAAAACTCTTTGTACATTATGTGTAATGAGGTTAATCAGAGAGCTTAAGATAATTGTTTAAGCCACATATTTTTCATCGTGTTAGACGCCATTTGCTTGTTTCACAATCATGTCAAGCTGCTCGTCTCAGAAAACTTAAATTGCGCCCATTGTTTTTCATTCATATTCCACATAGTTCGTTGCCATGGTTTTCTTTATTAATAAGCATCATTTTCAACTAACAACATTAGTTATTAAATGAATTTATTTTTAATTAAAGCATATTCTAGAAAGGATCAGCTTTGTACCTTGGTGTGGGATGAACAACTTAAAGAAACGAATATAAGATTGGCGATATTGACGATTCATAACTGCGTAGATGACAGGATTCACACACGAGGACATCCATGCTAAGATAGCTGCTAAGACATGCAAGGAAGGATACCTGGAATAATACATTAAAGCACAAAAAGAAAGAGACTTAAATACATGCTATTAATGGATCAACGTTACATTTAGCTGGTTTTTAGCATAGCTAGACACATTAGAGGGAGGATCATGTTTAGGGTTATAGATTTTTGGTCAGTATGTTGAAGAAGATTTTATGTTCTTATCTTTACATCAAAAAAAAAAAAACAAACACGAAAGATAACATGAAACATATTTGTTATCTATCAGAAACAAACACACATTATACAGTTTTAGTGGAGAAACAATGAATTGAATATTGTTGCCCATCTCCAAACAATGAATTGAATATTGTTGCCCATCTCCAAAAATACGTGATAATTTTTGAAACGACAACTACAGCATCCATTCATAAACCATTGCGTTTAGTATGGTCAGTTGTATTTCATGTTACTGACCAGAGCGTATTAAATTATAAACGATTTTGTTAATAACAATATTTAATGGACTGTAATTTTCTAATGATACAAAAAGGCTTACATAAGAGAAGACAGCTTACAAAACTAAAACACTATTGCCGCGGCACTTAGGGATGTCATGGACTTCCTCTAGGGGTGCCGCAAGATTTTAGCAAAATATTGTAAAAAAAAACAAAAACAAATAAGTTGCTACATCGTATATGTGAAAAGTTTGTATGTATACTAAAAGAAAAATGGAGGTTACCAAATTTCATTTCATCCAGGACTTATTAAGAGTATCTCTATTACCCCCTCACCCTCGCTTATAAAACGTTAGGTGTGACGTGGAAATGGTAGACTATATATATAGGGGTGTCTTGAGTAAAAAAAAGTTGAGACACTGAACTAAGACAAACCCACAAAAAACTACTACGTGCGTTAGTATTATAATACAATATTTGAACAGCTGTGTGTTACCTGACTTTATTGTCGAAGACATTCACGATCATGAGTGGAAGAAAACAGATGAGGAAAGATATGAATATGATTAGCATCATACACGTTATTCGAAGTTCGTCCTTTTTATGCACGGAATGCTTCATTAGAGGTGTGGGTGACGTAGGACTTACTGGAGGACTGTGGGCAGCTACATTCTCTCTTGTCCGACGTACCTTGAGAATTAATAAATAAAATAAATGTTTTTTACGTTACAACAAATAATAAAACATGCACCATTCAATGTTTTGTTTGTATAGTTAAACCTAACACAGAATAACACAGCAGGTGCCCATATGATGTCACGTCCTAAAGTCTTAAGAATTACTCTAGCTCTACGAAAAATGAAGTTTGTTATTGAAATTGTCTTGAGAGTTGCTCTAGCTCTACCGAGTTTGTTATAGAAGCTGTCTTGAGAACTACTCCAGCTTTATCAACTTTGTTATGAAAGCTATCTTGAGAATTACTCTAGCTCTTCTACGTTTGCTATGGAAGCTGTCTTAAGAATGACTCTGTCTTTACCAAGTTTTTTATGGACGCTGTCTTCAGGATTACTGTAGTTTAACAAGTTTGTTATGAAAGCTATCTTGAGAATTACTCTAACTCTACCAAGTTTGTTATAGAAATTGGCTTGAAAATTACTCTAGCATTACTAAATTTGTTATGGAAGCTGTCTGGAGAATTACTCTAGCGTTAATAACTTTATTATGGAGGCTTTCTTGAGAATTTCTCTAGCGTTACTACATTTGTCATGCAAGCTGTTTTGACAATTACTCTAGGTTTACTATGTATTTTTAGACACAAAAAAAAACATGCTGAAAAACGTACCTTAAAGAAAATGCACGAATAAGAAATGATTATCACAACGCACGGTATCAGGAACCCCAAGATGAACAAAAACTTCTTGGGAGATTTCCCATCGAGCTTGAGAATGGTGCAAGAAAAGGTCTCGGGATCTAGACCAAACGTACCCCACGAAGAGGTGAGAGTGGGAACCAGCAAAACGAAACTGAAGATCCAGCAAAAAGCTATCATCAAAGCGATGTATCTCTTTTTATAAATTTTCTCGTACTTACTAGGATGGTTGATGAGGATGAACCTATTCATAAAAAGTGTTTATAACAGACACATTACTTTGTTTTTGCTACCAAAATAAGCAGTTCTATCATAAGAATTAAACAAAAAAAAAATTATGTCGAAATAATGAAAACAAGA